GAATCGAAGTCCTTGTTGGACTGTGGAGTGTTGGGAACGGAATCCGAACTGGTGTGAAGGAAGATTTTGAGATTCTATAAAGTGTAGTATAGTATTTCAAGTATTTTTGAGAGGATTGGAAGTAGGCTAATGGGTCTGTAGGAAGTTAAGCTGTTGGGAGGTTTGCCTGGTTTTGGGAATAGGATAATAGGTGAATGTTTCTATGAAATAGGAAAGTGCTATTGTAAATGTATGTAAGCAATATGACAGCTTTAGGAGGAAGTTGTCTAAGGATCTGAGAAGTAAGGAGGTCGTATACAGATGATTTGCTGGTAGGTAGTTTTTGTAAGTAGATATTTGACCTCAGAAGTATTAACTGCTTCAGGAGGTAAGGAGAACTGGAGGGGTGGGCCCCTCTACTGCTGGCGTGTGGGTGGGGTTGGATTCTGGAAGAGGGGTAAATGTAAGGGAAAGGTGTTTGGCGAATTCTATCTATTTCTATCTTCGTCAGACGCTGCCCAAGAGCCATCACCTCGACGGAGAGGATGTGATATATGATGGGGTTTTAGGATTTGTTTAGTGATCTTCCATAGAGAATTACTAAAGTCAGACAAAATTTTGGAAGCTTTATAGTAATCTGATAGCTTTAAAAATCTCAAAAAGTCCCGTAAATTCCTTGGTCAGCAGCAGGAAAAATCAGTTAGAATACTTTAAGAACACATTAATATATGCGATCAGCATTAGGCATAAAATAGTTGCAATAGTTTTATACCACTTAGTAGGTAACTAATTTGATAAAATATTACAACATTTCGGAAACTTTTCACGAATTTGAGAATCAGACTACTTTTGTAAGAATCTGATTTAATAAAATTTGACCAATATTTAGAAACTTATCGAGATGGTAGCAGTTATTACGTGCGGGGCGACATGACAAAAATTGGAATCCGTTGGTCCAAGAGTTTTTCCTGCTACCTGTTTCAATCTATCTATTGGGTTTATAAAAAATGTCGGTCAATTTGATAACGCTTATATTAAAAAAACGACCTTAACATTTCTATCACATTAAAAAAACATAATAAGTTCGTTTATAAAAAAGAAATCGCTGCAATCGTACCTAAATAGAAACAAATAATGAACACTATATATTCAATACAATTTAATACAGCAACCTGTATATAAATATTTATATACGATATAAGTTATCTCTTCATGATAAAAAATGCCCTATCTTTGGCCATATATGCCATATATGGTATTGGATATTTTTGTCCGTAAACAAGGAAGGTATATTTTAAGTTCCAAGATATTTTCTTCTGGAATCTTTTCAAATAGGGAGAGTTTCGAAAATATTTCTCTAAATCTTTAGTTTTTTCATAAACTGTAGTAGCCTTATCTTTTTTGTAAGCCCAGATGCAGATGTGAAACCAGACCCTGTCTAAAGATGAAAAGCTGGCAAGCTTTGGCTAAGTCGGTACCATTCCCTTATTGAGATACATGCATTCCGCCTCAGTTTCTATGGTTATGCATCCATCTTTTAAAGAATAGCAGGATTCCTCATAAGGCAACACCAAATGAAAATGATCCTCTCCTAAGGAGTTTTTATAGTTAGATGGTTTAAAATTGTGAGGTCCCTTTATAGTATAAATATCTGATGTGGTTTCCCTTACCCTGGTCTCTCATTCGTTTGCAATGTTTTAGGATAATTTTACATATCTATCAAATACTATATGTAGTGAAGATGACCTGATTGATCTTAACTTTTGAATTATAAAAATTGATAGATCACCTTGAGGGAGAGTATGCAGAAAAACATGTCATCAACAATTGTATATTGAAAGAATGAGACACGAAGGCTAGGAGTAACCACATCAGATATTTTTACTATAAATGGACCACAAATTTTTAGACTATCTAATTTCAGAAATTACAAAGGAAAGAGTCATTTCAAAGCCGAGTTTGTGAAATTTATTGCTGAAGACACCGAAAAGCTCAAGAACGTCATCAATAAATTGGGTAATTCTTCATTTGGTAGCGGCTTATGAGGAACTTGCTATTCTCTAAAAACAGATGCACAACTATTGAAACTGAGATTGCTCGTATTTCAACGAGAGATTGGTATCGACTTAGCCAAAGCTTTGCCAGCTTTTCATCTTTAGACAGGGTCTGACTTCACATCTGCCTCTTGGCGTAAAGAAAAGAAAAGGCCACTACAGTTTATCTTTTCTTTACGCCACGAACGTACGTTAATAAAAACAATGTAAAAAAACTAAAGATTAATAGAAATATTTTCAAAACTCGGCTAATTAGAGACGATTCCAGAAGAAAATATCTTGGAACTAGAAGAATATAAATGCCTACTGTACGGACAAGAAGGTTGCACAAATATAAATAAAGCTAGAACATTTTTTTTTCCCAGAACAGATAACTTATATCCTATATTTAACGAGTTATTGTAGTAAATTGTATTTAATTTATAGTGTTCATTATTTTTTTCTATTTAGGTAGTGGACGGATAATTTGTGAAAGTGATCATGCTCCACTCTGGTTTGATGGGTTTCTATTGCCAGTGGAATTAAAAACTTCGATGACATGATGAAACTGAATATGGCATTGAACAAGAAACAGACTATGATTCCCCAGATAACTAGGACAACTTAGATATTTTCACCTTACTTCTAGTAATTTTTATAAACGAACTTATAATATTTTGGTAATGTGACAGAAATGTTGAGGTTGTTTTTGTTAATATAAACGTCATCTCTGTTGTTTCTTTATTGATTATTTTATACAACCTAGTGTACATAAACTGGTACGTTACCGCCATGATTACGTGCGTATACACTCATTTTTTTAGATGCTGCTTATCAATCGATGATATAGATAACTATATCATAGACAATATATAAATAGATAACTAGCATTTTATGAAATATAAAATAACAAACTACATTTTCTTAACAAATAGTATAGTTAATGGTTAAATAATAATATGGATTTGTTTGTCATTAATTTGGGATTTTTGTTTATTGAATTGACCAACATTTTTTATGAACCTAATAAATAGATTGAAATAGGTAGCAGAAAAAACTCTTGGACCAACGGATTCCAATTTTTTGTTATGTCTCCCCGCACGTCTGTGTATCTGTGTGTATATGAACACTAGCTCGAAAAAGAAAAATCCTACGAAACTGATAATACGTATTAAAGATAGGTATATGCTTTAGATGTGGCATCAAGCTTTTCCTTAAAATCGGCTAACCGGAAGTTCCACTTTATATCAACGCTGAAACACATTTCCACAATTTTCTCAAAAACGGCTCTAACGATTTTGATTAAACTCGGAGTATCATTGTATAATTAAGTGGCCTTTAATATCAATGTAAAGTGACATCAATGGGGATAAGACTACTTAATTATACAATGATATACCGAGTTTAATCAAAATCGTTAGAGTCGTTTTTGAGAAAATGTGTTACAGCGTTGATATAAAGTGGCAGTTCCGGTTAGCCGATTTTAAGGAAAAGCTTGCTGCCACATCTAAGGCATATACCTATCTTAAATAAGCAATACAGTTTCGTAGGACTTTTCGTTTTCGAGCTAGAGTGTTCACATACACACAGACCATTTTTCTAGACTTGGTTATTTGGACTCAGGGTACTCCAAAACGTATATTTCCGTTGAAAACTCACATTCAAAAATTTTCTTGATAGCAATACTTACCCTCACTATATATTATCATGCATTATTATACCCTTACTATATATTGAACACACCCTTGGTAATAATTTAATATTAGTTTTATTAAAGATGAATAACACAAAGATAGACCAACAACACTGATCAGATGGAATGACTGAACAAGGAAGTAGAGAGTGAACATAGCATTATTCAAATAGGCTACCATACACCCCTTTATGCTAATGATACTTTCTTCAATTTACCACTGATTAATAGAACCTGTTTTACTTGTTTTAATTTTGTATATCCAAAAGTTGATAAAGATATAATAAAAATAAATAGTTTTTTTTTTTTTTAAATGGAGCCTTCAGTTTGTTTCATGGATAAAAGGAAATGATCTTTATATTTGTCTTATCATCTCCAGTTATTCAACAAAATGTTGCTGTATTAACAAATTGTTATTCTCATAACATTTTTACATCTGCTTCAGTCTTCATCAAACAAGCATTAAAATGTCTTGTACTAGTAAGAAGTCAATTACATAATCATTTTTTCTTCAATTTCATGTTCCAATGTAATAACAAGTAACACTAGCGGATCTAGGAATTAATTTTGGAGAGAGGGGCTTCAGCCCGAAAGCTTTCTTTTTTCTACACATATAAGGATAATTACTTCGGAAGAAAAAGAAAGAAACTGTTAGTTAGAGAATACCTATAAGAAATAGTATTTAAGTTATTCTTGAAGTCCTATCAAATGTAATTAATGAATAATAAAAGTTTTTAGAGATAATTTTTTTGTAAGACATGGACATATTTTACCGTTTTGGAGGGCTTCAGCCCGAAAGCCCCCCTCCGTTGTACATCCGCCAGTGCCAAGTACAATATTTCAAAAACACAATGCTGCAATAAAATTAAATTGTTATTTACATTTATTTGAGGTCATTTTTACTTAGTCTGTATTCAGTAAAACATAAACAGTTTGGGAGTTTCAATAAGTATTAGTTTTTTCCTAAAAAAAAAAAAAACTAAAGGTGTATTTACAATACATATTTTTCTAAAAATAGAATGAAATTAGAATTGTGAAAATAAAATAAAGTATTGCAGCAATTTATTTTTATTCAATACTTTCATTGACAGTACAGATAAAAAAACGCAATAATAAGTTAAAAACATTAATCAATAAATATTGAGCAAAATATTCTACTCTTTACAATCAATTCATTAAAATATAAGTTGAAATCACCTGGTCAATGCAATAATAATATCAATATAAATACAGATAGTTTGTAACAAGTACAAGCTTTTCAATCATTGTTAAAAATTGTAACTTTGATTGCCATATAATATTTTACAAATTAAATTTAAGAATATAAATTCTTAAACTACTACATATACAAATTAAAGTAAAAAACAAATCATTTTGAGGAGTATAAACTAAAAGCCCATTTACATTAAACCATATCATATATATGTAACATTAGTAAAGGAGTCTAATATAAATTTATATTTATCCCCAACAGGAATGGTGATCGATAAATCACTTTTAACTGCTTTAAAATCAGTTTCTGACAAACATTCATGATAAAATTCCTGACTAGATTCTTTTAATATTCCTTGATTAACAGATTTTTCTAGACATGCCAAACAGATCAAATTTCCTTTCCCTGAGGCTATAAGTTCTCTCAGCCTATTTAATGCTTCCTTATAGGCAACTGACAAAACAGATCCATCCATTGGGTCAGTAATGAGTCTGGATAACCAGGCTACCTGCAACAAAGAATTATTTGAATAATAATGTAATCTAATATTAACCCTAGTATGATTTTAATGTCATGGTAGAAAGAATTTTGTCTTTCCACTCCCCTTCCTTATTTATACGGTTTAAACTGAAACACAGATCTACCTGAAAGGGGTTTTGATAACTAGTTTGCATCCAACAGTGCATTTTGAAATTTTAAAATCAACCTCAATGTATGATTAGTTCCTTTATATGTTAACTTTTTTTTTTTTTAATTTTTTGGTTTTATTTTACTCCCATACCAGACTGAAACGACTAGAAACCGCCCGACGTTTTCGACTACTGCAGCACTTACTATACAAACGCTCTAAGCTCACAATCAATTACAAACAACTCATATATATGACAATAATAAGACCTATTTGGACTTACGGAATTGAGCTTTGGGGCTCCACTAAACCATCGAATTAGTCTCGTATCCAATCCTTACAATCCAAAATCCTTCGTAAAATCCTCAAAATAAAATCATCCATAAAGATCTTAATGTTCCATATGTTTCCAATTTGGCCCAATCCAGATATCTATCCTTCCATAACAAACTGCAGAACCATCCGAATCCTCTCGTTTTAAACCTTACTTCCTCCTCGGTCCCTGATAATCCTCCAAGGCGTCTGAAAAGAAGATGGCCTCAGGACCTTCTAATATAGAACTTTAATTTGAGTTCTACCAATGGGTAGTTTCTCTTCATGTTGTACATGTCATGTTACCAATGTCACATTTACTTATTGTATTTTCCATGTAATACAGTTGTAAATCTCAATAAAATAAAATTTAAAAAAAAAAATGGTTTTATTTTATCTTAAATTTAAAGCTCACAAAATGGTAAGTGTAAAAACAAATTTATGATTTCATATTTCAGGTCTAAACTCCATGTGACAAACCTATCACACTTCGAACTATTTTCTCTAATTATTGGTTTTCCAGAATTGGTTACCATTTCCCTATTTTCACCTTTATCTACATAGTTGGAAAACAGTCGGAATGATGAACAACCAATCCTTCATTCCCGAGATAAAATAGGAAAAACTAATAAAAATACAGACAAATTTCTAAACTAATTCTCCACTTTCACCTACCTCTATATAGATGTAAAACTGTTGGAATGGTGAAAAACCGAAGATTTATTCACGAGATAAAAGAGGAAAAGCAAATCAAAATTCAGAAAACTTGTACCACTCCTGATTCCATTGGTCTGCCTTTAATAGTTATAAAATTGTTTGAATGGTGAAAAACCGAGCATCCATTCATGAGATAAAATAGGGAAAGCAAATGAAAAATCAGAAAATGTTCTATACCAATTCTCAATTTTCGCCTACATCTACATAGTTGGAAAACTGTTGTATTGGCGAAAAACCGAGCATTCATCCACGAGATAAAAAAATGAAAAGCGCATGAAAATTTGTACCACTACTGTTTCCACTGGCATATTTCTAAATAGTTATAATATTATATTATTGTATAATATTTTTAAGGAAAAGCAAATGAAAATTCAGAAATGTAATTGTGCAATTATAAATCCGACAATATTTTCATATAGAGCGGCCCAGAAAACTTTAGGGAATCTGAAAAGTATCAGAAACTTGATGCACAATCTTAAATTTGACAGTATTTTCATAAAAAGTGCCCTCGAAAACATAATCGTGGACCGTTATATCAACAAAAAAAAATTACAGTTACAAAAAAATTATTGGAATCATATTTTTATCTTAAATAATAAATAATAGACAATGTAGGTTATCTGTAAATAACGAATAACAAATAATTAGCCGTCCAAAGGTCTTAGAATAAGAATAACAAATAAAAGTGGGTACTTGTCAAGTAGCCGGTCGGGATCGACTGCTATCTGCCAATGTTTATAACTTGATAAATATTATTCAGTATAGTATCCATTTATTTATAGTATCTATTATTTGTTATATATATATAAAAATTTTAATAAACGTTATTCCAATAACGTCCAATACTGCACAGACCTAAAGCAAACATTTATTAAAATAATACTCCATTTGTTTCTCTTATACTTACACACTTAGAATATACAATAAAATCCTCAATATCGTCAATGATATTCAGCTTACTAATTAAAATTAATAAAGCTGCCATTAGATCTTTCAATGGAGGATTGCCAGATTCTCTTATAAAATATGTAGAAGCTCCAAAGAAATAAGTAAAATTTCGATACTTAAATGAATCACTTTCACTATGTATGTAACCTAAAATAAAAATAAAAAGAATTTGGATAAAATATAAAACTGGATAAAAACTGAGTTGCTTTTATTATTGTAAAATCTATTGATTGAATAAACATAAAAATATTGTCATGACACATCTGAAGGTTATTCCTCAACCCTCTATTTGTAGACTTGCTTATTAGCCTAAGGCTTATGCTAAATTATAAGTAATAGAGGTGAAATGTCACAAGACCCAGTAAAAATAACATGATAGTTGATACCTATTTCATTCTCTATATTACTATGAAAAAAGAAACAGATAATAAACTTTACTGTTTTAGGAATTCAATAGTTAGTTCAATAACCATAAACGACTGTTTAGATGATCATAATAATACAATATATACAGGGTTTAATGTACATGATCTGGGCCACACAAAAAGAAGTGATAGTAGACCTCAATTGTAACAGAAAAGGTCATTGGAGATATTAGCCCAGTTACCTTGTACATCGTTAAGTTGCATTGAATGGGGGTAGAAGGTTTCTTTTTAATGTCCTATATAAGATATGATTTAGTTGCAAAATTCAAGTTTTCAACTTTGGTATCTCAGCCGGATCACTTTTAAGAATCCCAAAAATTACTATATTTTCGAACTTTTTCTGGTCTTCTCCCATTTTATCTATGAAGCAGCACATTTTCGTCAAAAAACCATTCCGTACATTTTTTAAACAAAATTAAATATGCTACAATTTAAGACCAGAACCGGTTCGGTAAATTAAACAATATAAGAGATATAGGTTTTCAAAATTTGAAGAATTTTATTTCCCATTTAAATTATTTTGCTTGTTTTATCAAATGGAATTGTATCTTCAATAACCTATTTGATATCAGTCAGTGAAGTAAATATTAATTGATTTTAATATTTTGAAGGAGGGGTAATGGTGGGGAGAGGAAGATTTGGTGGGAGAGGGTAGGCCGTGGGCCAGACCCCGCTAACGTACATCTTGCCGCACACCGCTATAAATTGCATATCGCTGTGTTCCTTGTAATTATATATTAAAAAAAAAGCCAATGTTTCCACAATGTTATCCAAACATGGCAAATTGACGACTTTAACTTGAGTTAGTTTTTCGACCACTGAGGTTCAGGAGTGTGCTTAATTTCGATATAATTGGTCTTTTATTAAAGTTGGATAGTCAGAGAATAATAAAACATCCAAAAAATTTTAAAAATAATTGACCTTGGCAATAAAAAATACCAGTAAAGTCAACTTTTTCAAGTCATTCAAATTAAAGTTGAAAATCAAGCGTCCTTTTAATTGAACGGCCAACTATAATGAAAAATGCCTTTAAAAAAAAACATCTAGCGAATACATTTATCTATCTAAATCACTGATCAATTTTAAACATATTTGAAACGGTTCTTTAGAAAATGCACTTAATCAGCTGAGAAGCGGCATTGGCGTAGACGCCCACAATCCCCTGCCACCTCATTCTCTCATAAATAGCATAGTTATAGTGCTACTCTCTGTTTCTATCAGTTTCTTGTTATATTTTCAAAGATTTTGGATCTTCTCAACAGTGATTACAGAATTTCTTTTTTATAATGGTTTTTTCTTTTTCGATTTTTTATATATTTACATATTTTGCTATGATTTGTCTCCATATCTAACACTGGTCTCTAAAATTAAATTTCTGAGAAGAGGAGAGTTTTGAAAGGTTCGCTAAGCCTTTTTTTTTGTTGCCTGCTGGTTTATTAGGAAGAGGATCGAATGCAATAAATGACTCAGGTCATTCTAGCACACTTATTTTATTAAATAACTTATAATATTAGCTTCAAATAAATTAACATAGGTATCTATCTTTTATTATTTATAGCCATTCCTATATCCATGTAGCCTACTCCTTCAAAATAATAAATTAAATAAATGTTTACTTCATTAACTCTTATAAGGCAGGTCACTCTTCTTCTTTCTCTTCCACCCATTTGCCTCTCAGCGTGGGGGTGCTTCCAGCCATCGGTTCCATGCATCCCTGTTCCCGGCAAGGTTCCTCATCTCTTCCAGGGTCTTCCCTCTTCGTCTTCCAAATGACTTGGAACATATGAGGTTCTTGGTCGCCCTCTCGGTCTTCTCCCCATCGGCCTCACCTCTAGGGTTTTAACTGGGTCTCTGCGGTGGTCCATCCGGCAGACATGCCCATACCACCTCAGCTGTCTCCTCTCCAGAGTTTCTAGCGCGGGGCGTATCTTTAGCTCCTCCCTGATCCTGTCATTTCGGAAACAGTCTCTCCGCGTTTACCCCACAATTCTTCTAAGAAACTTCATCTCAGTGGCAGTAACATGGCTTTGTAACCTCTCATTCAGTATCCAACTCTCTGCTCCACAAAGAAGTAGAAAGTGCAATAGGAAGACAGACTTGAACAGATGGAGCTTCACATCCTGCCCACTTCCTTTTTTCTGATTACAGTATTGTATATTGCATAGTAGACGGAATTTGCTTTTGATATCCTGGTTGAAACTTCCGAATCTACTTTTCCCGACCTATTGATTACCGTACCCAGATAGGTAAAGTCTGTCACCTCCTCTTCATTACAGATAATCCGGATATCCTCTCGAGTTCTGCCAACTTGAAGAATTTTGCTTTTGTGAGAATTGATGGTCATTCCCTTCCTTTCCAATTCTTCATTCCACTCTGCTACTGCCTGCTGAAGTCGCTCAGGGGAATCTGCAATTATAATGATGTAATCTGCAAATAGGAGAAAATGTACAACTACAGGAAGCAAGTTCCAATGGCCCATGTGCATTCGTGCTGTGTGCCTTCTGCAGATGGAGGCTATCTCATCCATATATACAGTTATTGAAGACATAAACATGAAAATTAAAATTAGCTTAACATTGTCGAGTTTCGAAAATTTCATTTACGTCATTAACAATTTTTGTATGAACTTGAAGTAAATGTTTGTTAAATAATTGTTCTGTTTAAATTTCAGTCTTCTGGTTGTATCTTCTATATTGTATATTCTAAGTGATCTCTCCCTCTCTCACCAAACCTCATCATGATTAAAAGGAGATCATTGATGCCATATTGGGAAAAGATACTTGGATTATAATTTCTAATTAATTAATAAAGAGAAGAATAGTTGGGATGGTCAGTCAAAAAAGAAGGCAAAAATAAATATTATCATTTATTTTTGCCTTCTTTTTTGACTGACCACCCCAACTATTCTTTTCTTCATTATCCATGACAGTTAACGATTTACCAATTATAATTAATTAATAGTTCATAATTTACAATTTAATTCCATTTATATTTAATTTTGTTTCTCTCCTTTTGTATTTTATAATTATTTTTATTTGTACCTTTGTATTATTCAAATATAGTTATTTTATGTTTTGTTTATTGAATTTATGAAGAGAACCACCGATTATATTTATTGATTATGATGTCCCTGAGGGTAAACTCACAGTTATGAGAGACATTCATAATATTAATTCAAATTGTTGGTATAATAATATGAAATGTAATTTAATGAAAAATTTTAATATGCACTCTATTCTAGATACAGCACTTACGGTCCTTTCCTATACAGCATTGGCTGCTGCGAGGACCTCAATAAGATCAAATATTTACAATAATGCATTAACTCTTAACTCTATATTAAAAATTTTAATCATTTTTTTGAATCTACAATAGTATTTTTAGGGTTGACATTACACAAGAAGGCAGTGATTGATACTATTCACTAATATTTCAGGAACTAAAAATTGATTAAGGGGGAAAGTATACTATTTTAAATAGAAATTTAAAATTATTACTTGTATAATAATTATTTTTTTAATACATTGAAAAAGTTATTTTATTCTCAAACAAAATTATATCCAAAAATTCAAATAAATATGTAGAATTTATCAATTATTAGTCCAATAATTGTTTTAAGAAGTTATAGATTGATTGATTCGGTTATTTCAGAAACAATGGAGGTGATATTTTTATAATTTTGAAAACTAAGCAAACAAATATTTTAAACTAATTTTCATAGTTTTTCATTTTCATCTTTTTATAAAGTCTACAAAAACATGTACAATTGATCTTCTACTACCTATGTAATGAGTTTTCTTGCACTTAAGTATGTGACTGTCTACCATGTATTCAGAACAAGTCTCAACTCAAAGCCAGCAAAAATAACACATGCACTGTTTCTTAAATGACAGATTCAATTGTATTTTTAATAGAGGATTGTTAAAAAATGTTTGGATAGCTAGATTTTGGGCTAGTGAGTTTATGTAGCTATAGTATTGATTGAGAAAGGATTCTTGCATACTTCAGACCAGATCTGCAACATAAAGTCTCATAGAATAAATTTATTTATGATATAATGATGAATATTGAGGGTTTCATAGAGTAAGAGGGATTAAAATTTAAAAGCTAAAGGTATAGTTACATAGGTATCAATTACACATTACACAACGTGTGTTGCTGTATTTCCTCAGAGGCATAATAATAATTGTCTAATTTTTATTATTTTTTTTATTTAAATAAAATGAATGTTTCAGGAAAGTGTAACAATGATATTTGGAAACAGCTGACTACACATAAGACTTAAGCCAAAGTGAAGTTTTGGATCATGGACATAAAAGACCTGATGAGCAGAACATACATATTTAAATATTATGGTATGGCAGAATATTTTGGATTTATCAAAGGAAAAGGAAAGTAATAGGAAATGATTCGTAATAATTTTGATTATAAATCACAACACTGAAACCATTTTTGAAGGTTAGCAATCAGGTTATGAAAAAAGGTCAGTGCTAGAAAGTGATTTGAGATCAGCAGTAATTGTCAATGATTAAGCCAATGATATTATCTTATGGAACTCCAAAAGATAAGTAATAATAGGCAAAAAAAAAATTAAATCCTGTCAAAAGATAGGATATAATGGTAATCTTAGAAGAAACTTGCAGTTGATGTATTGTGTCTTTCCCAGAAATGAAGAAAATACATGAGTGACAAATATAAATTAAAATAAAAGCATAAGAAATAAAAATAACTAATATTAAATTCACCATTATATGACAATTCTAATTCTTGAAGAAAACATCTTTTAATTTGGGAGCCAACAGAAGGGTCATCTCTCCTAATATTGGTAAACAAATGTAAATATTTTGCTACCTCAATTGCTATCTCAGGATTTATTGTAACCTCGTTTAGCACATCCTTCATCCAGATTCTGAAAAGAAGTATTAAATATACTATAGTTTAAGTAAATATAATTCATTGAAAAATATATATGACATATTTTTATGTAATATAACATAAGCAAATGTGTTTATATATATATATATATATATATATATATATATATATATATATATATATGCATGTGTGTGTCTGTATGTTGATGAACATCCTGGTGGGTATCCATCCGAAAACCTGGAAATATATATGAATTTTTCAATAGTACTTTGAAAAAAAAATGTATAATTTTTCTATAAGCTCTTTTGTGAATAAATAAAATTGATTTCATTTCTATAATCATACATATTGAGCAGCTATTTTTTCATTTTAAAATTTTTAATCAACTTCTCCAAAAAATAAATAACACAAACCAGCAATATCACTGTAAATAATAGGTTTCTAATGGGAAAAACATTTTGCGAAATGTCCAACAACTATAAGAATAAGAAAGAGATTCGGCAGAGGATAACTATCGGAAACAGATGTAAAAGAAGATACAAGGATGCACTGGCTGATGATACCAAAAATTAGCCCCATCAAGAAACAAAGAAAAAAGTATAAATGGTGGATGGAACATGATCCAGGGAGTGCTGATCGAGGCTGCTCAAGAAGTTCTGGGACCAACAGAAAAGGAACCTAGGTAGCCTTCCTTTGATGAAGAATGCGTACATAGCACTGACATAAAAAATAGAGCATATAAAACAATGAATGCAAGAAGAACAAGACAGACAGTGGAAGAATAACGCAAAAAAAGATGGAAGGAAAAGCGACTATATTAGAGAAAAAAGAGGGATTGGAAGGAGGTAGAACTCAAGGCAGCTAAAATATTTAGTGCCGATAGAAATGTTCAAAAATTTTCTGAATCTATACCGACATAGAAAACCATTCAAGCTCAACCACGCCGCATGCAAAGATCCTCACGGCAACATACATGAGGAGAAAGAGGCCTACATGAACCAATGAAACAGACATTTCTCAGCCATTTACAGAAGAGAACAAGTTAATAGATAATATCCCAGCTGAGCTTCTCAAGTATGGAGGTTCTGGTCTTGAAAAAGCTCTTCACAACCTCATCATAGACGTATGAACGAGGTGATATCCGATAGATGGAAGAAATCCATAATTTGCATAATTTACATGAAAGGAGGCCCCTATGATTGCTGCAATTACCTTGGAATATAACTTTCTACCCCATACGTACAATGTCCTGTCCAATGTTTTGTTTACAATATTACTCCTGTTTGCTGAGAGAGAAATAGGCTCCTATCAGCATAGATTTCGAAGAGGTAAATTAACAACAGACCAGTGTTGGGAAAAATTTATCTTAAATAATAGATAATATATAACAAATAATCTATTCGAACTTTCAACAATGAATAACGAATAATTCTGTTTATCTTTTATCTAGATAATAAATAAGTTCAAGTTGTCTATTATTTTTTTATTTGTTATTCGAGTTTTCGAATAATTTGACGCTAATTTTATTTTTTCTTCTATATGAGGGCCTATTTATATATTTTCAGAGCCATTGTTTTCTAAAATTATCTCCATTTTAAGATTACGGCACTGCTTTGCGACTTTTTTTTTATTACTTCGATATAAGGATTGATTTATTTATTTTCGGAGCAGTAGTCTTTGGGGCGCTATTTATGAAAATATTGACGGATTTGAGATTGCTCTCCCGGGCATCTACTTTATGTAACCTTTTGGATTTAATCGATATTAGGGTCAACTATTATGTTTTTGGGGCGCTTTTTATGAAAATACTGTCAGATTTGAGATTGCGCCCCCTGGGCGTCGACATTTTGTTACTTTTTGGATTTGATCGATATTAGGGTCGAATATTATGTTTTTGGGGCGCTTTTTAATAAAATACTGCCAGATTTGAGATTGCGCCCCCGGGCATCGACATTTTGTTACTTTTTGGATTTTATTGATATTAGGGTCGACTATTATGTTTTTGGGGCGCTTTTTATGAAAATACTGTCAGATTTGAGATTGCGCCCCCGGGCATCGACTTTATGTAACTTTTTGGATTTAAACTTGCAGTTGATGTATTGTGTCGATCCCAGAAATGAAGAAAATACATGAGTTACAAATATAAATTAAAATAAAAGCATGAGAAATAAAAATATAACTAATATTAAATTCACCATTATAAGACAATTCTAATTCTTGAAGAAAACATCTTTTAACTTGGGAGCCAACAGAAGTATCATCTCTCCTAATATTGGTGAACAAATGTAAATCTTTTGCTACCTCAGGATTTACTATACTGATTTGAGATTGCGCCTCCGTGGATTGACTTTTTGTAACATTTTGGATTTATTTGATATTAGAGTCCACTATTATGGTTTTTTTTAGGGGGGGGGAGGGCGCTTTTTATGAAAATATTGTTGGATTTGAGATTGCGCCCTTGGGCATCGACTATTTGTATGAGCAAAGAATAATTTAAAAAATTCTAATTAATTGGAACTGATAAAGAACAATAACAAGATTACAATCATGGTAGCAAGATTATCTGTTGAACTAAGTAGATGCAATTTAAAAAAAAAGAAAACTTGATTGCAGAAAATTAACACATAAGAGTTATTAAATTTACAATCATAAAATACTTATAATATGATTAAATTTACATCTAAATCAACCCCAGACAAGATTATAAGGTCTGAACATCAGTTTCGACTATTTTGATTTTAAATAGCTAAAATATCAAATAATAAATAAATCTGATGTCTTGATTAGTAATGGTTTTAAAGAATTAAACATATTAATGAATGACATATATTAATATTAAATTTACCATAAAATAATAAATCAAAATGTTTTATCATAAATTTTGAATTAACATTAACTTTATTTGTTTGTTAACATGATAAATAAGAATTTATTTATAGAACAATAACAAAAAAAAGCTGACCATACCTAATAACCAGTATTTCCACATTATTTTTAAAAATTTTCAATTTGGTCAGTCAGATTCTCCCTTTTTCTTCCTCAAAATGAACAATTAAAAATCACCTACACCCAAATATATACAAAATAATACGTAATATTACATGTCTCTACTCGTTTAATGTCAGTTTTACTTATGTTATTAAAAAATAGATTAAACTCATGATTGGCTTTGCTTGCTAAAATTGTATCTCTGTTTTCCCCTCCTAACATTGGAATTATCCTAAAAAGGCAGATTTTTCACCAAAGTGGAAACCCTACAAATAACATACAATTTTTAAAGGTTTGTTTTTTTTATCTTATGCCAAAGTCGTTGGTCATTCGGCCATCCGACATCTTGCTGCCCAGTATAATTTACATTTTTTAATATATACATTTAAAAATGTTTTTTCTCTTATGTCCATCAAGGCTGCACATGTGTCTAGATGGTCTGCATCCATTCTTCCTTGATGACACAAGTTACAACAAGGATCCTCATCCAGGCCTATCTTGTGGAGATGAACCTGCAGATGGTCACGACCAGTTAAAAAAACACAATTTTTAAAGTGCAATAATTATAAATTAAATATTTAAATATAGATTTATTACAATTATTGAAGATGTAACCAAATTAATAATAAAAGAGTGTTATAAAATTGACTGTTGAAAAATACATGCATTTTACATAGACAAAACATCACTTAAATATAAAAAAAGTAAGTAATAATAATAAACAGGTTTGAAATCGATAATTAAGAACATAAAAACAAAAATCAAACGTGATAAACATTTTCATCTGAAATTTTTCAAAATCATTTGCTGATTTTTATTTTGGATCAGAAGTGATCCTGATCATTTTTTTTTTTCAACAAAATTTTTCTATTAGCAACATAACATCTTTAATTTAGAAATTTATTCGAAATTTATGCTTATGAAACAAAAAAAGTAAATAAATATATATATGAATAGTGCAGGTGCCAGGTGCTCAATTAAAGCTATCAAAGAAATGTAATATTAAAAAATGTGTATTTTAATAACGAATACATATATATCAATATATTAATTTGTGTGTAAAAGGTGATTTTTATGAATCAATAAACATCAAAGATCTATTTAATTTTTTATCCATAAATTAGGCATCATTTTAAAGTAATAATTCAAATATAATAATTATTACATGATTTTGTAGGAAAAGTAATTCAGGGTGGCTACCAAATTGTCAGAGAAAAAATTCCCTGACTTTTCCCTATTCAATGAAAGCTTTCTCTGACCAATATGTCCGAGAACACAAATGCTAAAAATGTATAGTTTATAACTAATGAGTTTATAACTATAACTTCTGTTTAAGTCTATAACTATAACTATAACTTAAAGTCTGTTCACACTTTTAAAAAACAAATATAATGTTCTAGAGGAAGCATTTTTTAAACTTGATTAAGATTTTTTTTTTTTAGTTTAGAAAACTAAACTTTAAGTAATTTATTTTTATTGCCTACTTACTGATACTTTAAGCATTTTATTTTCATAAATTGAGAGTATGTAAAAGTTGATACTTGATGTTTTTATCTATTATAAAATAAACTGAGCTATGGGTGATTCTTATTTTTATGTAGTTCCACATAGGCAATTTAGTCTTTTTATTGCCACAAACAGAACAATAATTATCCATACGATACTAACTGTGAGGAGAGATGGCCGAGTAATTCAGTCAATTTTATTAAAGCTAATAACATTTTCAATATGATTAATCATATACCATTTTTCTCTATCTCGCTTAGTTTCCGAATTATCCGTCCCTAATTATCGCTAATGTAGGAAAAACAATTTTACCTCATAATTTTTACTGTATTTAACTAGCTAACTAACTATTGGCTGTTTCGTTCAACAATTAGGCCACGAAAGTTTATGGGAACGAAAGTTTTTAATTTAAATTTAGCAAGAGTAGCAAGTGTCATGGCCGCAAGTGCAGTATAACTTTCATGTCGCTCTGTATTTGTTGCTTTGTAATGTGATCAATATTCAAAGTTGTGGTGTAATACTTAATTAACAGTGAGTTAA